TTTTCATAAAAAAGAAGTAAACACATACTTAGGCCATATTGAGAATATATATTAAATATCAAAGGAACAATAGTAACCCAATCTCTTGATTTAAATAACATTTTATTATTTTTAATTTCCATGTGTGTCAAAATATATGTCAATCTACTTCTGTGATTAGTTTCGAAGTAAATAATGTCCATATTTAACATATGCCTTTTTTAATATATAATAATAAATTAAATTTAAGACATTTTCTTGAATTAAATTGTTTAACTCTATTGTTTTAATTAAATTAACAACATATTGAATAAGAGCAGAAGCGAACTGTAGAAATAATTATAAATAATTCAAATTCAGTATAATTTGATATTATGAGTTTAACAGTGATGTATTCAATAGGAAAAATGCTATTTTTTTTACGCTGCACTTATATAAATAACTGAAAATATTTTATATTTTTTTTAGTGTTCAGAAATCCTCTAGTGAATCTAATCATCAATTCTTAATTTTGGATTCAATAAAAAATTAGAAAAAAATCATAAAAAAACTTAGGTTAGACATATAGGTTTCCCCATATATAAATTTTATGTAAACTATAGTAATACATATGATACTTTATCTTAGCGCACGTGTTTTAGAGGCAATATTAATTAAACTATGGAAATTAAGTTAGAAAAGTATTGTGTTTGTCATACCTAAGCGTCTTAGCCGTGTGCAAGTTTGAAGTTTCGGCGATGTGACTTTGCAGATATTGATTCAAATCCCCGTACTCGCCGTTTTCCAATACGATGCACATGGGATCGTTCTCAAGGCTGGCACCGAGTAGCCGCGCGACATTTCGATCGGCGAGTCGTACCAGTCTCTTTGCCTCCTGTTGAAATTCTATCCTGGAAAACACATGGAGCATCCGGAAGTAATATCTTTATAGGTGCCCGCGGTACCAAGGCCATGAGTACGGACGCGGATATATATACTGGAAGTATATGTAGATATTCCGTTCCGGTATCACTCGCTTGTCTCTCGGAAGTTTTCGTTATCTCACGAAGAAGAAAGAAAGGCAGGAAAGCAATACAAAAATGCCAAGGATAAAAGAGAAATCTATCTACGGGGTTATAGCGCGAGTCACGAATAAGGACAACCACGAATAAGGGTTGCGACTATGCACTATTGTGTTATGTGATTGTACACGTGAGTAAATTCTAGCAAGAGCAGACGAAGTAGAACATGATATAAACTGCCACATCGAATGGTTCATGAATTCGATAAGAACTCAACGGACTGTATGAAAATTGTGAAACCTATATCCTTTACAATTTTTAATATAAAATTATCTCTTCGTATTAATATAAATCAACCCAATAAAAATTCTAGCGATTAATGAGCCAATTTATTATTCTATAGTCGAATAATCAATTTTATTGGTCCGAAAAGAAGACCATTTCATAAACATTTTGACACAGAATAATTTCTAGTAATTCCATGATATCTCTGAAATTATTAAAAATTTGCATTTTTATACGATTTCAACATATTTGCATAGACGAGCACGCTTTCATTTAGAGAAGTAAACACGAATGTATTTCGAATAAATGCGATGTATTATAATATTGAGTTCCGTTGATGAGATACGTATTTGACCGACCAGCACGTTTTATTTTATACATGATATTAATTTTTGGGAAATATTTTAAAATTCATCAGTACATTTTTTTCATAGAACATGCGTATATGCGCAACATAAAATTACTTAATTGAAAATGTCAACGCGGAAAATGAAATTCCTTTTTGCATCAAAAAATTCAATCATCAGACGACGAAATGTATAATAGGATCAAAAAACGAAAATCTATCAGGCAGATTGGTTTGATAGACTTTTTCGCGGAACGCGAGCTGGTTGTAGCCAACAGAAAGAAAAGCGTGGAAAAGAATAAAAGGCCAGCAAGAGAACGATTGCGCTCTCTAACATGAATTGCATCCATTTCGCGCGACAACACGGGTTTCGCGGGCTTATCCTAGTTGGCAAAATGTGTTTTGTAGACAATGCCATCCGTGATCCTGTCTGCGGGGATCATCCTTTTGCTACTGCGACGACAACGCGTCGTCGGGTCGGTGCAGTGAATCCGGTACGACGCGCTCCGTTGCCCGTTCCTATCCCTATCGGCCTATACCGAGGGAAAATCGTGATCGTCCGAACAAAACGTTGTTATAGCGGCATCGCGAATGCAATAAAAGGATATCTTTTATTGGCTGATGTAGTGTTCATGGTTGAGCTACGAGAATCTTCGTTCAAGCATTGATTCTAGATTTTTCTGAAATGTACTGTATAGAAACAAGTACGCTTCGATGTGAATTGGATCAGTATCACGTGTGGAACTGCGCATTACATGTAATTATACATGATGCATAATACGAGGTATTACGAGGTACAGTTTGTAATTTTTATTCATTGTATTTATAAATTATAGAGTGCGCGGAATAATCATTTTCTTTATATAATATTATCCAATTAAGTATATTGCGCAGTATCGCTCTGTAATCAGTGGATGCTGATTTTCAAATATTTCACTGAAAAAGCCACGATGAAGCACGTACAGCGCACACACGCCGATTCGCTAAGTAGGTCGTAATGGTGGATTTAGACGTGGACGGGATTTCGAAAATTGCGAGACATAAATAACATTCAGGATAAACAAAATTATTGACGAATATTTCATATTGCCAATCGCTAAATCGTATGCCCCGTAGAAAGACGCTTTGAATACAGAATAGGATTTTATGTTTCCAATTTTCTAAAGGTGAGAGAGAACCCTCCTCTATCACCGCTTTATGAAAAATTATATTGACGCAGACATGCGCGTATGAGCACGGACGAGTTATTCGATTACATGCCAATCATCGATCGCTTAAAGCCCTTCCGCATTATCCGGCCACATCTACTTAATGCGCGTAGCGTGTCATTACATTCGGAATCACTTTGCGCCGCGTTATTGAATTACGCCGTTAACGCGACGCTCTATAATCTATTGGAATAATTTTCTATCGTCGATATAGATAGGCACTGCTTTCGCTTTCGGTTTTTGTTTGCTGTAGGAGCGGTTGTCTCCCGAGATATTTAAGCTTTGTACAAAATATATGTTTGAATGTTAATACTATATTTTGATCCGTACGATAGCATCTAAATGCCTAGTGATTATATTTAATTAAGGCAATATTGATGATAATTGCTAGAATTCAATTGATGTGAAATTTTATGTTCTTATCAAAACACATTCTCGACAAAACATTGTGTTAAACATTATCATTAAAATGTTTATCGTGATGCAAGAATAGAATATAAAAGGATGACAAGATTTTTCATTACAAAATAAATAATACATTAAATTAAAAACTTTAGGATAAATAACATAAATTAATTATTATTTGCGATTGCTGTGCTGTTTTCGATTACTGAAGATGCGATTAATCTCCTCAAAAAATAAAGTATTCAATTTCCATAACTCGTTTTTGTATACCTGTACGTAAATTGAGAAAAATTTAATCAATGTGAAATTTCACGCTATCATATAACGCGTTATATTAAACACTAGACATTATCAAGATATATTTATTAAGACACAAAAATAGAATATAAAAAAAATGAAAAATTTTTCATTATGAAATGAATAATATATTAAATACTTTAAGACGTTATTTGACAATTATCATTTGCGACTACTGCTATTTTTTAATTTTTTGAAGAGATTATTTTCCTTAAAAGATAAAGTATTCAATAGCTATAACATGCTTTTATATACCATTATATAAATTGACGAAAATTACATGGTTCTTACCTAAGAGCGTCAGAAGATCCAGGTTTCAAGGATTTAACAATAACCAAATCGCTGGAGGTATTTCTGAAAACCTCATCGTAGCCAGGAAACCTGTCAACCTCGCAGAGATGAACATCGCCGAAGTATCCACAGCCAAGATTTTCAACGATGTTGAGTTTTTCCCGTGGAAAATCAAGGACACACTCAGGTATCTCCTCCTCTTCCTCCGTTAGCATATCTTCCGGACTGTAGCTAGTTACACTGCTAGAGGCTTTCGCACTCATTGGCGGTGGTGTACTTGGTGTTGGCGAGGGTGGCAGTGGTGGTAGAGGACTCTGCGATGACACATACACGAATTCAAAATTATATTTTCTCGAATTACGTGTAAATCAATATATAATATTAATATTGTACATGTAATATGAATATGTGAGGCAAATAGTTGTGAGTAAATATTTGTACTTTTATTCACTGAACGAAATTATTTGAAAAATATGAAACAAGTATAATATCGCGAATATGAATAA